AGCAAGGTTCCCTGGGCTGGCAGTGAACTTAAATGAGAAGGGTTCAGAGGCAAAGAGGAGTCACACACCCCATCTTAGGAGGGCAAGGGCTCCTCAGCCACGGTTGACTGCTGCAATGTGGAACTGTGGTCCCAGGGTTGCCAGTGCTTTGGGGTTTTTGAGAGAAACTGGAAATCTGGATTTTTATGTAAGCAATCCCGAGTTTTAAATGTGAAATGCTAATTTCAATTTTTATAAAACACTCTACAGGACAAGAAAAAAACAATCTCATCTGTGGGTGCAATATGGGCTGTCATTGGTCTATGGTCTGGTTTGCAACCTCTGGTATTAAGAGAGCAGAAAGCTGGATCATCCCTTGATTTTGTCCTGCACAAATATTTGCTCCCTATCAATCTCTGAAACAGTATCAAAAACTTAAAGGTGGGTGGATTCTGAAAGGACAAATTATGCTTGGAATCCCCAGTCTAACCAGTGGTTCCTTCTGAACAGCAGGGTTGCATGGAGACATCCACTGTGGGAAAAGACATGGAGTCTGGCGCCCCAGATTCTTGTCTCTCTGCTGCAACCAACTTGCTGTTGACCTTGGGCAAGTCTAACAAGGGTCAGCCAGACGGCTGAGCCCAGTGAGGTGCTCAGGGTACAGAATGTTAGGCAGGATGTGTCTCCCTCCAGTCCTGGCCCTTCTCTCTGTGCCTTATCTGAACAATATAAGAGGTCATTCTAGAGACACCTAAGGCCCTTCCAGAATCAGGCTATTATGATGTCTAAATTTCCAAAACTGTCAGGTGACATAAATGGGGGCRAGATTTTCAAAACAATTGTCATCAACAGGCCTGTTTTATCTACATGCAATTTAGTGGGTACCAGTGACTTGTTAAGGGCAGACCACTTACGAGAGCTGGGAGCATTTTTAGGACATGTTCCTGACATCACGGGTCTGGCATTTTTGACAACGTATCTTCTGAAGTTCTGATTTGTTACATTTAGCTGGGAAATAATATCTAAAAATACTTTTTCTTCCTCTGCAATACTATTGAAAAAATTAATTACAGATTTCATTAACCAGATTTTCTCATTTTTGCTTCATTTGTCCAATGCTCCCCCCCCCACCATTTAAGTGTTTTTCCCCCATGATGGTGTATGGGCCTGGTGTAGCTGTTGAAATACCTGGCTGTTCCTTGGCTAGCAGGCAGGGGCTGGTGATTCCTGACTGCRCAATGCTGGGAAGGCGGTCTTGGCRCATGTGATGGAGCATAAGCATGATTTGGAGAAAACCTAGCATGTGAATCACAAAATGCATAGAACAGGTGGAAACGAAAGGGCAATAATTTGGGTGACAAAAGGCAGTCTGACTCAGAAGCCTCGGTCTCTCAATTAAGAATCATAAATGCCATGAAGTCAAGGCTGTGTTTTGGGGGGTTCTGGAAAACAGAGTCCCCAAATATTAAGTGTCAAAGTCAACTGGCGATGAGAAGTGAGACGAATTATCTCTGCAACTATAATGTAAAACAGTGACGAAGCAGGATTTTTTTTCTTTCCCTGCAAATCTGATTTACCTTCTGTGTTGTGGGGACCTGCTTGCTGGGTAAAGGGAATGACAGAGACAAGTTTGCAGGCTTGTGGGAGGCCCCAACATGGGGCATTGACAGGTTGCCTAGCTCAGTTCTTAGAGGCCAGTTCACCGTCATCATCCTGCATTCAGCACACGCTGACCACGCTCCAGGGGAGACAGACACCACGACAGCTTCCCCCCTGCCCTTTTTAAGTGTTTTGTCCCCTCTTTGGGTCATGTTGCTACGATGGTTAACTACACAGGCTGTGCCGCCTAGTAGGTGAGCAGTGGCTCGGCTTCCCAGAGATGAGCTCCTCTGTGAGAGGAGGGGTGGCAACGGCAGCTCCATGAGGTTATGAGGCTGCACAGAGACAGCGAGTGCACAAGCACTGGCTATGGAGTGGCACTAGTAGCCACTCACTATTCATTTTCCTCGTCCTTCCTCTCCTGCAATGGCATGGAAGCCTTGGGACATTGCACCTCGTGCTTTCCTGTTTTTCCTTTCCTGATTGCCTGGGAAGGTAGGTGGTAGCTCTTTTCCTTGTCCTCTCACTCTGAGCTGAGCACTACCACTGGGCGAGGTGGGCAACCTATGGTCCTTCCAACCTTGCACCAGTTCATTTCACTTCCGGCCAGGGGTTCCCTCCCAGACTCGCTTCCTAAGTTCCAGCTCAACTGAACCAGTGAAACTGACCTCAGCCTCGATGGAAGCACGTTTTGTGATTTTCAGCCACGGGAAGGACAGAATAATGGGGTTATCATGTGTGAAACAATTTCCATTAGTAGTTAACATCTGCAAACTTTCCTTAAGTTAATTTTGAGAGCATTCCATGGCTAACCATGAGTAAGCACACCTGAACCATTAGAGTTTGTCTCCTTAATTTGCAAACTTTTAAACTTCAGATACTTAAAAACGACCTTTCTGTGAATAGGGTAATTTGAATATGTGTTTTTTTTCTCTCTCTCTCTCTGAAAAATTTATTAAATTAATGTGTGATGCCCTCCCTAAGTTCTTATTTATTATTTCTTTACGGTGCCTAAATTGTGATTACAGAGAAGCATTATAAAATGTCAATGTGCAGATGAGACTTGGAAGGTCTGGGGCTGGGAGAGCAGGGGAGCTCTTTAAATAGAGATGTCAGCCCCAGCTGATTTCAGAGTGGCTAGCCATTAAGACGGATGGTTCCAAAGCTATGTGCCTCTGCTGGAAATTAAAAACCCATGGAATAACTGATTATGATTAATTTTAAGTACTTAGCCATGAGAAGCCAAATGCAAGCATCTTTAAAACAAAGCTATTGATCTGGCTTTGTTTGAAATTGAAAAGATAAACTAATCAGATCCTGTGAGCTTTTTTTGCAATGATGGGGAATGAGAACTTTGATAATTATTTTGGTCATGGGTCTCTAAGTTTTAGCCTGGAAACACCTGGTGTATCTGGGTGCAAATTTTTCTTCTAGCAAATTTCTGAGAGGAGTTGTCTAATTTTGTCCTGGGTACGGGTTTGATGGGGGTGAAGGTAGAACAGAAAGAAAGTTCAGAAAGTGGAAGGGATAAGATTTAGAGAGTCCCTCCTATGTAGTGCTTAGGTCATTACTCCTCAAAGTTGAGGAAGAAGATTCAGAGAGGTTAAGAAGCTTGACCCAAGCTGCACCACTTTCGGGATTCCCCACCCAGGTGTGCCTGGGTGAAGCCCCCTCCCCCCAGTCATCTTGGGGGCAACACCTTCTAGCACAGAGAACCCTCCTGGGGTTGACAGGTCATCATAGCTGTTGGTGAAAGCTGATGACTTCCATTTCCTGGTTTCTTCCCAAGGAATTTTCTCATCTTTCTCATTCTCTCTGCCAAGGGAGGGGAGAGGTGATAAGTTCCTAGTGGCCCTTTTGACAAAGGCTTTTTCTGCAGGCAGGGAAAAGCATGCCTATCCGTCTCAGCCTCCTGAGAAGTCCAAGATTACTAAATTTGGGCTGGCACACTCTCCCTCGCAGACATGCATTTGTTGCCGGTTCCGGGGTCAGAGTTTGGGTGAGGAGAGACCATCCATCTTAGGAATGACAACCCAACTCCCCCGCTGAGGGTCCTGTGTATTCTGTACCGGGAATTCTCAGCTCTCATCTGATTTCCAGAATAGCTTTCAGCCTCAGCACACCCCTTCCCCCCCCCCCCCGATTCCTCTTGGAATCACCTTCCTCTCAGGGTGAAGGGCTCTTTCTAACCATTGCTAGCATCTTCTGGGCCAGGTGAACAGGAAGGTGAAGGGAGAACCTATACTCTTTCCTTTATGTACAAAGGGACATTTAAATATATTCATTCATGTACTGATTCGGCTTTCATTCATTCTGCTGGAATCAGACACAGGTAACCTGTGACTATGTAATTTTTTTTTATTTTCAAAGGAGGCTCAACAAATCCTAATCTCTTAGCACTCACTGGCTAGAATTGTAGCATTACAATTATTTTTTGCAGAATTTGTAAAGGTAAGTCACTCCAAGATAGAGCAACCAGCTACTGCATTGTACAAATGAGAAAACTGAGGATTCAAGAGCCGAAGAGACTTGCCCAAGGTCACACAGCTAATTAGAGGCAGAACTGGGACTGAATCATACATCTCCTGACACAAGTTCTACTATGCTTTATTGCTCCTCTCCAGGTTCCCAAGTCAGGGACAGATGGAAGTGTAGACATGGGTGAGAACAATCAAAATGTTTTCTTACACAATCCAACTTTAGTTTGAATGACCCCAAGATGACTGTTTGCTGACTTTCCCCCCAAAATCAGATTTCCTTAGTTAAACCACTTGAAAATCCAGGACAGAAAGACAGCTACACATTTTTTCTAGGTAAGAAGCATAGGATGCGGTGACAGAGGGTACACTTCCCTCGTCTTTTCCACCCTGCTGCGTTAAGGTTACTGATTAAAGTTTGAATTTGAACCTGAGATGAGATCCCAGGAGTGATGGCAATGGCTGGACTTTACCAGGTGTTTGGCATCCGCCCTGTCCTGTGCTAAGGTCCCTTTCTGATTCTGGGCAATTTCAGCTGACCCTCTGGTGCTAGCCCCTCTCTCATTGGCCCCAGACCTGTAACCTGTCTCCTCATATGCCCACTCAAACAGACTCCGACGGGCTGTGGGGTGACTCCATCTAGCCCATCTGTCTCACKCAGCCACGAGTACTGTGGGAGCATCGGGGGTGCAATGACTCAATTGAGACTTAATTAGTAGGAACCCCAGTTTGTGGGAGGTGAGAAATCACACTCTGCTGCCTGCAAGCACTTTGGTCAAGGTGAGCCGGAGGGATCTCCCGATTCCCAATTTTAATAGCACTGCAGCAGAAGATTCAGAAAAGCAGCCACACGGAGCCCCCTGAACACACACTCCCCCTCTCTCCTCCCCGCACCGGCACACACCACACGCACGCACACAAGGAGCGATCGCAAAACGGACTCACAGGATCTCCAGGTCGCGCAGCGCTCGGAAGGCTCCATCTTCAATGCAGCTGATGCGATTGTTATCCAGTTGCCTGTGGAAAAGCAAGGGAGAGCGTGAAGCTGAGCGGGGGCAGCGCCGAGGGCCACCGAGCGCCTGTCCCTCCACCCCCTTGCAGGCTCTGCTCGTCCCCGCCAGGAGCTCGTGCAGAGCCAGCCTGTCTGCCACGCTGCTCCGTCTCTCCTCTCTGACTGTCTGAGAGAACTACACAGACGAGCGCACCAAAGGCTGTCAGGTCTCAGTAAATATTAATTGCGCATTTTTTTTTTTTTTTAGGCAGAAGGGAGTAATTTCATTACATTAGGGCATCCAATCCATTACGAGCTCTTACCGTCATGTCACTGAAACAATTTCATTAAGCTAAAGGCCTGTAAATCATTGGAGGTCACTGCTCTGCCCTCCRCGACCTCCCAGAATGCTTTTTCCCCTCTCCCTCGTCTCCCTTTTACTGGAAGTTGCAGTCTTTCTGCTCTGACACAGCGCTAAATCTCAAGGCTTTATCTGCCCAAGAGCGGCACGGGTGCATGGGGAATATACCAATTCCAAATTAGACTCAACTAATCTAATTTTATAGTCTTTTTATTATTCTAAGCACCAAATGTCTGTGGTGGTTTGATGTCTCCGTGCATTGTTATAGGGCCCATCTGGTAGGTCATTCTATTGAAGCATTTTCTGACTAAATACAGATTCCCTCAAACCGTATCACCCATCATCTACATTAAAGAAATTCATTGATGGAAACATTCATGATGGAGAAGAAAAAGAATATCGTTATTGCCTTAAAGATGTACCACTTGTGTTTAAATTGGGGAGAATTAAATGCACCTCTTTCAGGATTCCTTTCTTTATTTCCCTTTCCATCCTATGCGCATGAAAATAATGTGTTTTTAAAAGATGTCTTGACTAATATGCATTCTAGTTGGGGACTGAGGGATTTTAGTGGAAGGGTAACAAATAGATGCCATTTTCTCTAAATCAAAAAATGGATATCTGATGATAAAGTCAGGATATTTACCATGGCCACACCCAATTTTAATATCATATGTATATCTCTAACCCATTTAATCATCTCCCAAAACAACAAATAGATGTTATCCAGAAAACAATTATTAATATCAGATTATCTATTATACTTCGCAGAGCACACCATGGTGGCTGACATGGAGGCTGACAAAACTACCACTATTCTAAAAAACTCCTGATGGATGCTCATTTTTTTCTTTTGTCTCAGAAAAACTGAGGACCTCTCAGATGAAGGGATTTCCTTCAGCTGAAATTTTCATATGTAATTTGCTCTAATCTATCCCAATACCAATCTTGCTGAACGTATCTCAAAGCTACATTTGATAATCCTCATGGAAGGTCTTATTTGTTATCATAGGAAGAAAGAATTAAAACTAAACTCTTATCATTGAAAATCTATACATATATACAATTGTGCAAATGCACACAAGCGAAACACACCCCATCGGAGTGATGTTGCATGTTATAGATAGGTTCTGCCACAATGTTGTGGGACTCACATCGCCCCAATAGGCATTCATAAGACAAGACTCAGACATTTAGAATTTAAAGATACACAGGAGATGACGGGTCTCCAGGAAGCAGAAGCTTGAGTTGACCAGTTCTCTACCTAGTGTTCCAGGTTCTCGCTGATGCCCACGCACAAGGAATCTGAGACCTCCCTGCTTCTAATTCTTCCTGAGCCATTCTCGGGATGGATTTGCGTAGCATCCTTTCTGTGGATTTCCCGAGGCACCAGGGCGGCCGATTCTCTGCAGAGGTTCTACTAAGGCAGCCTAATGCTACTGCCTGGCTTCTACATCTATCATCAGTTTAAAGGCGATGAATCAACACCCCCGTCCCATGCCAAGGCCACCAAACCTTACCAAGCAGAAATGCAGTGGAGTTGGCTTTTGGCTCCCAGAAATTGTTCAATGAACATGCTGAATCCGGCAAAAATGGCACCGTAAGCCTAAGTGCAAAAGCATCTAAATCATCAAATTGGGAAGCCTGGGGTGCGGAGAAGTGGCAGTCTGAGGTGCATCTGCTTTTGTGCTGATGTTTCAGAGAGGTCCTTGCTCTTGGTGCATTATTTATTTGCTGGATATGGGATGTGTTTCCATTCTTTTTCTTGAGAGCATCAAAAACCCAACAGGAGACTAAATATACATAATTTTTCATGGGAAAAAATGGAATCTCTCAGAGAAAAGAGAAAGTCATAGAAGGAAGAGAAAAAACAAAGTGGTAGAAAGAGAACAAGTAGGGAAAGAGGAACAGAGTTCTAAAAATCCACTAGTTAATGTGCCGTCAGTCCTCTGCCCAAGACACAAGGTGATGTGGACAAAGAATCTTAGAGAGGACCCTGATCATTTTAAAGCTGAGAACAGAGAACATTATTAAATATGCAATGTTTTAATATTTTCAGCAGCACACCTAGTTGTTTACTGGTAATGGGGAAAACTGAGCTGTAATGTAACCAACTCTGTGGGTGTGTTTTATAGTTTAGTTTAGCACATATGAAATGTATTAAAATTTAATTTTTTTTAGGAGATGTTTATTTTAGCTGAGATTTTCTTCTTTCATTATAATCAGACAAAGATAAATCAGACAGGAACTATGTCCCAGTCTCGAGGGTCAAAGATTTACCCTCAAGATGCACCATTCATTATGAGAACCAGGGGGACGCACTGCCGTGGGGTTCATCAGGCAAACAAATCCACCCAGTCCCTCCAGTTCCAAGCTCTTGTATCTTCGTAGCTCTGAACATTGAAGTATTCACAAAAGCCCAATTGATAGCCTATAATTATTCTTGATATTTCACGCAGATAAACTAAGTCACTAAAATAGTAAATACATACTTGTTCAGACAGGTTTCTCTTTCTTTCCAAAATGATAGCTCAGAGATATAAAAGTCCTAAAGCACAGGAGATGGGAGGCAAAATAAATGCAAGCCCAGCATTTCTTTGAGGATGATGTGGTGGAGTGCTATTGAGCACAGAGAACCTTCTGGAGCTGAGGCCAGAGCATCTCACTTAGTAGTTTGCTTCAGGGGGTCGATGTGACCGGAGGCCACTGATGTGTACTCTAAGCTCTCAGGTCAAAGGTCCACACTGTGCCTTTGAAAAGACTCATTCAAAGACCCTCTCAGAAACAAATCCAAAAGCACATGGTCACTCAGAGGTGTGGGCAAAAACGAACTCTGGAAAAGTGAGCAGAAGGAACTCAGCATTCTGAGGATGCACACCGGCTTTTCTGCTTTCCCTTACCAATAACACACACATTTCCCGCAGCTGTTGAAACTTTCTCCTTACTACATGAATATGTACCCCAGTGCCTAGCACAGCGCCGGGTGGTTCACAGATGGCCATTAAGGGTTGTGGAATGAGTCCTGCTATTGAAGGTATGCAGGGCTGCAACCTAACTATGTGGAAGAAGCACCACCCCGGCACAGCCCTGTGGCCCTTCTAGCAGCAACGAGAACGACAGAGAATTCTCTCTGATCCCACACTGGGTTGCACACCTGYGGGGTCCTGCCTATCTGATACACAGACCTCGGAGGACCCCGAGAAGGACTCTGGAATCAAGTGAGATTTCCAGGGACCCAGGGTGAGGCCGAGGGGCAAGAAGGCTGGGGTGGAGAAGGCAAAACTGACTCTTTTTTGGAGGCAACTTTCACTATCCTCTACTTTATACAGAATCCTCAGTTTGAATTATACCCTCTTGTTTCTGAATAAACCAAGAAGCCCCCAAACATTTCATGATATTAAATTAACTGCTGTAATTTCCTGGGGAAGCTCCGGTTTCGGTGAACAATACGAGTGCTAAGGTGACACCAGAGTCCATTTAGGAAGGAACCCTCAGACCAGAACTGAACACAGATGCCCTGAGAGCCGCGTTCTGACTGCTGCATTTTTATATTCGGAGAATATAAATAAGTCAGAAAGAAAAGCCAGCGTGAGTGAGGACTTAAAATGATCTCCACAGATGACAAACAGGGAGATGGCACTTCTGTAAAAATCCCTGCTCATAAGCACAGTGTTCTCCTATTATCACAGTTCATCTCTTTTGGTTACAATTTCCTATTTCCTAATTGAAGTGGATTACAAATATTTTTTGGTCCAAATATTAAAAAAAATACATCTAAATCTTTTTCTTAAAAAGGGTTAAAAAACCTGAGTACAATATTAAAAGCAATTTATCTTCCAATAACCACCAAGATAAATAAACAAAGATGGAGAGGGAGAGGGAGAGAGACAGGGGTGGGGGAAGAGTAAAAAAAATCCAGGATCTTAATAATGCATTTTTGTCCCCATGAGAAATACCTGGAAAATAGAAATCTCCAGAAACAGGCTTTGGATAGGAAGGATTGAGTTCTCAACTAGTTAACTACATGCACGGTCTCTGCATGGGGGCACAACCACCCAGGTGTTCTTGTCTCATCCAGATGTTGTGGGGCCAGCATCTCCTGGGTGGATGGTGAAACTTCTCCTCAGGGCACTGTCATGGGGGGAGGTGGCAAAATACAGCAGCAGCATTTTGCTCCAGGACTGCAGCTAGAGTCACTGCAGTTCTTTGTGCTAGACAGGARAAGCTTAGGCTCAGCACCCTCTGGAGTTAAACCATTTGCTAATTTGCACACAGCACAACTATCTAATGTGCAAAACCTGTATGAGATTAACAAGGGAAGCCTGAGCAGATATCCCATGCAAGTCTATCTATGGTTATGGACACCAAAAATTAATTAATCCAGAGGATCAACAGAGTATTACTAGGAGTGTGTGCTGTATTAGATACTCAGGATACAGAATGAAATCCAAGACATCCTTTGAAAATATTTGGAAGAAGGTTGCCTGATCTGTGATTTTACATGTGAATAGTCTTTAAAGGACTAAGAGAATGCTAAAAACTGAACTAATTTGAATTCGTTGTTGAGGAAATTTGTRTATTGGTACACATGTATATTCTGGATGTACTTTTCTCTAGACCTGGGAGAAATAGAATCTTGCAACTCTATAGAAAACCCCGGGGATC